TGTGAGCACATCACTGCCAGCTCAGAGCATCAAGGAGAAAGATCTTCAAGCGTTCATCAGATTAGGACTTTCTGCAGCCAACCTTGTGCAGATGAAAAGAGTCAGAGCTGCAGTTTTGGAAGCCTCACAGGAAGTAACGGCTCAGACCTGAATGTTATGGAAACAAGTTCAAGCTCTATTTTTAGTGTGAGGGTTGCCTCCTTATCGCTGATGATGAGACCACCTGGAGCTCCAGACGTCTACCTGCCCCCCCCCCCCCTCCCTCTGCAGGGAACCCAAACATGCAAAACAAACATCAGCTGACTTCAAACCAGCTCCATCTGCTCTCATTAAGCCCCGCTCAGCGTTGAAGAATTCCCGTGCGGTCTGAAGCCTTTCTCTAATGAAGCACAATTAAAACGGAGAGAAGCTAATGAAAAGTATTTACCCCGAGTCCAGTGAAGTGGCGGTTGATGAGTTGTTGAGTTCGTTGAGTCCTCCTAATAAAAGCCACATGTCTGCTCTTATAAAATGTTGTTTTTGTGGCACAGATGGGTTCGGTGTTTGTGCCAGAGAGTGACTTAATGCCAGACGACAAGCAGGAGAGAAGTCAGAGGAACCGGAGGTCTGGAAACCTGGACCCAGTTGGGTTAAAAAAAAGAGAGTTGGGACAGTAGAGTGGATATGAGAAGTCAATATCTTACCTGCATCAGACAGGAGTCAGAGGATAGACTCAGATAGACGTATGAAAGAGTTGGGCTGATAAAAGGCCAGGATTCATATGTCAGATGTAATCCCAAAAGAACACAAACAGAGGATGATTTTATTTAAAGCTGAGCCATTTTAATTTGTAAAATGCACTTTTGAATAGCTCTTAGCTTGACTCTGCTGTGAGAAGTCCTCACTGATGTTCCTAACACAGCCTTCTGATGGCTGTAGGTAAGACACTGACCTGACCTCACTCAGGTTTGTTGCTTCAGAGCACGAGTGTGAACGCACTCGACTGGAGACCGGCCCGGCGACTCAACATTCAAACGATTTTAATATCTCATTTAATGCCGCTGCAGATTAGAGGTTTAAGACTGAACCTTTTCTCCGATCACACGGCTCCGGTCTTTAATGCGCTCGTTACATCACATCTTGGCTCACAGGAAACCGCTCTGCAGCTGAAATTGAGCGGTTTTCCCTCTGCGATGGAAACTGATACAGCAGCAGTAAAATCCATCAGGAACCAGCGTTTTGTGTTTGTTTCTCCTAAAGTTTGTGCAGGAAGAGCTGCGGACTCATGTTTGAGACCAACACACACACACGTTATTACATGATCGCCCTCCTTTCATGGAAGCAAACTAGAACTCCTGCTGAAATGCTAACAAATTAAAAACCCACCACAGATGATTAGTTGTTTGAAGAGTGAAGGACCTCACTCTGCAAACCATCTTTACTGGGAGCAGTGAGGAGGATCAGGTGGTACCAGGTAACATGCTAAAGGCATCTCAGGACAACCGGTGGTCAGGTTCAGTTAAAAAAACAAACAAACATAAAGTTAAATAGAACAGAGTTCAAGCCTTGCGGACTTGGAGCACTTCTTCGTGAAGTCGTGATGTTTTCTCCAGGTGCAAACGCCGTCATGAGGCTGATGCGGTTCTGAGCAGCCGCCCCAGAATATTTGCTGATAACTGCACATGGATTCAAAAAACAAATATGAGCCTGAGAAGTGGAAGGAGGACAAAACCTCAAGGGGAAAGAGCCGACGTGAGCAGAAGCAGCGTGTGAATGGTCGGTGGAGCGATGCCCTGCAAACTGGGGACTGAAAGAACAAACTGTTGCAGAAAAGGAAATACCGTAATTTCTGGATTATAAGCTGCTACTTTTTTCACAGGCTTTGAACACCGCGGCTTATACAATGCTGCGGCTAATTTAATTTTAACCAGCCGTGTTACAGGCACTGTTCAGAAAAAAAACATTTACTGTACGTATTTGTGTTTGTTACCGGTAGGTATTTAATTAAAAGTTTAAAAAAAATCTTTCTGTGTAAATATCTCATGTTACAACGTGGACACCCACGGCTTATAGACAAGCGCGGCCTATTTATACACATTTCCCTTTTTTTATTATTTTTTTAAAGTGGGCGCGGCTTATATTCGGTTGCACTCAATAGTCCAGAAATTACAGTATCTTTCAGAGATCTGAGAGGTTTTCTAACGAACTGAAGGACTTCAGATGATCCGGACTCATCTTGGATCGTCCCGACATATCAAAGATCCTCAAAGGCCTCCGGGCCGAGGGTGGGTGCAGCGAGACGAGAACAAGCTGATCCAGAGTCAGCGTCACGTTCCCACAATGCATTCATCAGAGCAGTCACATGACCAGCCTGTTGAACTTCTGCTCCTTTTAGTGAATATTTTTAAGGAGAAGAAGAAGAACTGAGTCCTCTCCCTGCTGCTCCCTGAGAGCCTAAAGTGAGTCCCGATCTGGGACGTTGTGGTTGGCTGGCTCTCTGATCAGATGCAGATGTTGGAGTGGACGGGGGACAGCAGAGGAGGCTTCTCCGCTCTGATAGATGGGGCTGAGGACGGTGTCAGGACTCACATTTCTTTGGTCTGATCCTTTAACGTGGTCTAGATTTCTTTGTGAGTCTCGGCTCTGTTGTCGGAGCTTCAGCTGATGGTGGGTTTCGTGTTCTGTTCAGACGGTGTGGAGCTCTTCAGGCCGCAGACGGTTTCGCCTCGCTGCTGCTCAGCACTTAATGAACTCTTTTACTGTCAGGGTGTAAATCTGAACTTTACACTGTTGGTAAACAAAAGCTTTCCACCCCACACTTTCTTAATTATAGTAAATGAAAACCAAAAACAATTAATGCAAGTCATTTTCTTCTATTTTCTTCTATTTTCTTTTGCATCAAAGCTGCACAGACGTGTGTAAAAACTTCGTAAATAACCCAAATTTCCATGGAAAAGCTGAACGTTTAAGAGCAACAATGTCCTTTAATGCACAGTGATGGAGGCTGAGTTTGCAGCTGAATATTCTGCGTCTCGTCTCTGATGTTCTGTTTAAAAAAAGGCGGTGGGTTGGTTGGGTAAAAATAAGAACAAGTTTTATTATCATTGTATCGAAATACAGTGAGATTATGTTCGTACAGTCGTCCGAAAGGTGGGCAGAGTGCACGTTGCTGCTGCTACTGGAGCGCGGCCCCTTATCCTTTTTCAGAATACTTTTTAGATACAAAAAGGGGAAAAATCCACGAGAGGATAGTGGTATTACAAAAAAGATCTCTTCACACCTTGTCCTTATCAGGACACGATCTAAGACATCAAAAACTCTACCAGCAGCACATTTATAGACACGTTACATTTGCATTTGATGACAAGACGGTGAGATTTGTCCATGAAGCTCTTCCAGATAGTCCATAATCCTGATAAGATGTTGGTGTCAGCCAGCACAGTTCTGATAAGCCTTCACAGAAGTTCTCGGGGGGGGGGGGGGGGGGGGATAGTTGTGATAGACAGAGCTTTTCTTGAGTTTACACATGTTCCAGGTGAAATTTGATAAGTCGGCCTGCTTTAAGGACAAACGGGGGGAGTCAGATTCAGATAAGCCACAATTGTTGATTTTTTTCAGGCAGACAGTTTTTTTGTCTCGTCAGCCTTGAATCCTGCTGGTACTTTCGATCCAAAATGGCCAGATGTGTGGGCATTCCACCAGTTCGTGCTTATGAGCCTCCTCCAAGGTCCTCCCCAACATGCTGGCGAGCCCCAGAAGCCACGGGTGGCCTGCGATTCTCATAAATCGCTTCCATCTAACAGCTTAGCTCATAACTCAGCTGATTTTGAGCGCTCAAAGCAATGAGCCAAACCTTCACTCAGACTCGGCAGTGTTACCATGGCCAAAACTGCTGCCGCCATCTTCTTTAACAGCCGATAACACAGGAATCTGCCGATGCCAAAAAGCAGAAACCCTGCTATCATAAATCCAATTATATCAACATTTTTGGTGTCCTCCTGAGACGATATGGGAAAGACACATCAGCTCCGAAACTCCTCACGGATCCATGATGCATCCTGCTGCACGAGTCTCAGCGGGGCATGAGGGCTCTCCAGGACCCTGTCGCTTTGTTGACAAGATTTTTTCGATTGTGTTGAAAGTCCAGCTGACCAGATCCATGACAGTAGTTCTCCGTTTTAGAAGATGTGTAAAATAGGAGCTCCGATACACAAGACAGAGAACAAAAAGCAGGAGGAGGACGGGCGAGGGAAGAAAATGCGCCTGCCTTGCACGAGAGCGAGTGCAACGCAGGCACCTTCGAGCTGCGTTAGCGATAGAACCACTAGCTGCAGCTTTACAGCAAAACTCCATCATTAAAGGAATAAATCGACTTGGCACACGGTGTAAAGTTTCTTTATATTCCGGTGACATGCTTTTGTAAATATCAGATCCTCTCACTGGCATTCCTGAATTACTTTATTTCAAGAATTCCTGATAATATCTGGCTGTAACGTTAATCTTCAGAAGAGCGAGCTGATGCCTGTGACCTCTATAGAAAAGAAAATCTTAGACACTGTACCATTTAAAATTAGTTTTAGAAATGTAATACCTTGGCTTTTGGGTAACGAGATCATAAGAACTTCTATAAAACCACTTATCTACCTTTCATGGTGAACCTTAAGCAGGACATTGTTAGAAGGCAAACCCTACCTGACACCCTGGGGGGTATAGAAGAAACAAAATGAATATTTTATCTAAAGTTCTGTATTTTTATCTGTATTTATGGAAAATATCAGGTCTGAAAAGTTCTGCTGAGAGATTTTGGGACACTTGGCAGCCATTTATGTCTTAAAAGTCTGTCAGTGTCTGTTTTATGTGTTGGTGTCTGTGGGTGGGGTGGGGGTTTATTGTACTTTTTTTTGTGTGTGTGCTCTGGAAATAAATTATAATAAAAAGACCTTGATTTTAAAAAAGAGGTTTGTGTTGACCTTGTGCTGCTGAAGCGTCTGACCCTTTGACCCCCCCTCACCCCCAGGACCATGCAGGCTTCGTGCTGCTCTGCTGTCCTGCAGCTCCTCAGCTTCCTGGTCGGTCTGAGCTGCAGCCTGGACCCCCGAGACCCCAACGTGTGCAGCCTGTGGGAGAGGTGAGGCCCCGCCGCTTCCACGCAAACACACTCATAAAGTGCACGTGTGCACGTCGATGATAACCTGCATTTTACCAGATTTAAACACGGAGCGCTCCGGTCCAAACGTTGGATACAAACTTACATTTTAACAATTAGATCTTCTCCTATTTTAAATCTCTCTCAAAAAAATTATAAAATCTTTTTTCTTTGTGTAGACGCTGAACTTTTTTAGGCTTATGTGAGTTTTTTTTTCCCATAATTGTAGTAAAATAATGCATCACACTTAAAATGAATCAAAAATGAAGCTAATTAGTTGGATCATATTTTCCTCATAAAAGCAGTTCTTCCTGTGCGAGTGGAGGTTTTAAACACATTCCACAATCCGCTCCTTATTTACAGTTTTAATATGAATTTATGAGCTGAATGGTTTTCTTGTTGGATCGTTCCTTTCGGAGCCACAGATGCGAATCTTCAGATTAATTTAGCGTCATCCATCTGGCAGGTCTCTGTTTGGTCCTGGTGATCTACCAAACAGATGCTGAGGTGTTTCACAGGACCAGAAGACCAGAAGTCAGGATTAGATCACCAGAGTCGGGATAGCGTTTCATCCTGTGAGACTCTTGGGACGACATCAGCTCACGTTTTTTACTAAAGCCCAGATATTTTGTTTTAGATTCCTCAGCTTCAGTAAATGTTGGCTCCTAATCTTTTCTCCAGGCTGGTTGATGCGTTTTGTTCTTTCAGCTACACCACCTCAGTCAAAGAGTCCTACTCCCATCCTTACGATCACGTGACCGAGGAGCCGTGCTCGGACCCCCGGACCTCCTACAGATGCACGCACCACAGGTGGTACCATCCTGACGACTCACTTCCTGTTCACGACTTCCTGACTTCCTGTTGCCGTAAGCGAACTTTGACACTAAACGTGTCTGACGGCGTAAATCTTTCAGGGTCAGCTACAAAACGGCCTACAGGCAGGCGGTGAGGACGGAGTACCGCAGGAGGTACCAGTGCTGCCCGGGCTACTACGAGAGCGCAGACAAGTGTGTCCGTAAGTCCGAATATAACTCTTTGTTTGTTCAGAAGTCTTAAAATAAACAATGTCAACAAAACTCGTGATGACCCAGAGCTGAGAGAACGCACGCAGACAACAAAGGTCGAGTTGGAGCTTTAAAAACACCAACCAGGGTCCAGCATTCAGCTCCAACAGGGTGAATATGTTTAAGTATGACGCGCTCAGAGCTGTGTGTTGTTTACGTGCGATGAGTGTTTTTATTTATCTGCAGAAGCTGAACAGGTCGAGGTCAAAACAGGAAGTGAGGCTTTAAAATGAACCGTCAGAGAAGAAGAGTGTTAAAAAATAAGTGGAGGGAATCCAGAGAAGATCTGACTCACGACTTCAGGCGTTCTTTAAAAACTCTGAGTCTGTCAATCAAAATGGACGGATGCATGGATTGATTGATTGATTGATTGATTGTCCATGCATCCATCCACCCACTTTCCATCCATCCATGCATCCATCCATACATGCATCCATCCATCATTCATCCATCCATCCCTCCCTCTTTCCACCATCAATCATCCATCCATTCATCCATCCATACT